CTCATCTCGTGTCCATCCTGATTGCACCTGAGGGAGACCCAGATGCACCAGATACCGCGACCCCATGCTCTTACGTAGAGGCAATAGAGGGTCCCTACTCCTCTCAGTGGCAGTCAGCCATGGATGCAGAGACGGCATCCTAGAAGTCCACAGTCACGTACGTCAACAACGTTCCCCCACCTGGGGCGAACATCGTCAGTGGCATGTGGATTTTTAGAGTGAAGCGACCGCAGGGTTCTCCGCCGGTTTCACCTGTCTTCAAGGCGCGTTACGTTGCATGAGGCTTCAGTTAGCAACAGGAGTTGACTTCTTCCAGACCTTCTCTCCTACCCCGACGATGACCACTCTTCGGGTTCTGCTGCACGTCGCCGCTCAGCGTGACTACGAGCTTCACTCTCTTCACTTCAGCACAGCTTTCTTACAGGGCAGCCTGCACGAGGAGATCTGGCTGCGCCGCCCACCTGGCTTCACTTGGTTGTTTCCTGCAGGTACCCAGTGGAGCCTCAGGCGGCCAGTCTACGGTCTCCGCCAGGCGCCTCGCGAGTGGCACAACACACTGAGGATGACGCTTGCGGCTCTTGGGTTTGCTTCTTTGATTACTGAGCCATCGCTCTTTCTGCGCACCAGCACTTCGCTGCCGCCGTTCTACATCTTCGTGTACGTCGACGACTTGGTCTTTGCCACTGCTGAAACTAAGGGACTCGCCAACGTAAAGTCAGAGCTGCAGAAGGGATACGTGTGCATAGAGCTGGGTGAGCTGCGCAGCTATCTTGCTTGCAGATCACCCGGGACAGAGCACGGCACGCCATTACCCTGACTCAGTCACACATGGTGCAGCACGTCCTTTAGCGCTTCCGCTTCACGTGCTCCTCGCCACAGTCCACTCCTCTGCCTACCGGTCACTTGCTCTCAGCTCTGCCTTCGTATGAGTCCGTAGAGCCGAGTGGCCTGTATCAAGAGCTTGTGGGCTGCCTCATGTACTTGATGAGCTGCACTCGACCTGACCTTGCTTACCCTCTTAGCATCCTCGTTCGCTACGTTGCGCCCGGGAGGCACTGACCAGAGCACTGGGAGGGCGCTAAGAGAGTGTTGCGCTACTTGTGCAGTATGTCAGGCATGGGGCTTGTGCTTGGAGGACGGGGTCGAGTTGTCCTCACGGGACACGCAGACGCTTCTTGGGTTGACGAATTGGCTACGCGGCGGTCGTCACAGGGTTACACCTTCAGCCTTGGCTCCGGCTCGGTTTCGTGGCGGTCTTCCCGCTCGTCATCTGTGCTCAGTTCCAGTTGTGAGGCTGAGATCTATGCAGGGGCCATGGCTGCACAGGAGTTTTACTTTCTCACCTACCTGCTGACTGTCTTGGCCGAGCCACCTTGTTCTCCTCTAGTTCTGTACGTCGACAACAAGGCCATGATTTCCTTGTGTCAGGAGTACAGACTGGAGCATAGGACGAAGCACATCGCTCTGCGTTACTTCCTTTCTCGAGAGTTGCAGCAGCGTGGACAGCTTCGTCTTGCTTACGTGGCCTCCCGAGCCAACACTGCAGATATCTTCACCAAGGCACTTCAGCATTGTGATCATCGGCGTTTCTGTACTGTTCTAGGCCTTGTGCCTACTTGGCCTTACTAGCTAACTTCTTGACTCTGCTTGTACTGTGATCTATATGCTTATACCTGCATGCTTACACTTGCTAGGTTTTGATCACTGTACTGCTTGTTCTACTTTATATAACTCTGCATGTGAACTGGCCTTGTGGCCATTTGCTTGTGCTCAAAGTGTGTGGTGACTTAGTGATCCACCTTGATCTTGCTTTGCTTTTCTTAACTGGTCTTGTGACCTCTTCCTCTCCCCAATTTGCCTATGGGGGTGTGTCAAACTTATATGCTGCACGTTGTGTAGGCTGTAGTGGGGTAGCCCATATGGGGTACAACCCAATTTAGGGTTAGTACTTGCACCCATCCTCCTGCTAGTTCACTCATTCTCGTTCATCATTCTAACATCGAAAAGCATTACAACGAGTGGAAAATCTTCGAGGTCCACTCAAAGGAAACCGTAGCAGCACTTGACGTCATCTTCTACGAGCGACTCACCCTTCAAACGTACCTGGACAACCTGGCAGCAGAACGAGACCCCACGGGAGGATTTCGAGGTGACCGAGCCTTTGCTTTGGTAGCAGATGAGGCTGAATGGGACGAACAAAACGTGGATGGAGCATCCGAGGAAGCCGGACCTCTTCCTTACTATTCGGTACCTTTTCCGATGGACGACGACAACGCTCGCGAAAGCATCAACGCTGAAGTCTACTATCACTTCGCCAACAACGGGTACATTACACCTCAGCCGGTCAACACAAACGATTCAGAACGCATAGGCCCCAACTTCTTACCTGATCCAGAAGCGGGAGACAAAGCAGTCTATCCCGAGGACCCAAATCTCCCTCGCTACACACAGAGTGGACAGTGTGAAGAAATGAGGAATGGTGAGGAGCCATAGCTAGGGTTTAGCTAGCTAGTCAAGAGAGAAATGAACAAAGGAGGGGTTTCACTAGCAGCAGTTGGGATACATATAGCAAACCCCAACTGGGTTGTACTCGCTATAGAGCACCCCACTACAAACTAGATAATAACATTCTGACAGACAGCAAATAGTTGGACGCGTCACCGCCGTCCACGGAGCTTTGCCACCGAAGGAGCCTGCCACAGTTCAGCAGGCTCTGGGGGGGGAAGAACGGCGCGAAGCCATGGACAGAGAATCAAAAGCGCTAGAAGAATGCAACACATGGAAGTTAGTATCCATTGAAGTGGCACGCAACAACACCATACTCACAGGAAAATGAGTCTTCCGTGTGAAGACGAAAGCAGACGGAACGATTGACAAGTTCAAAGCACGATGGGTCGTGCGCGGCTTCGACCAAGATACGGACTAGACTTCACCGAGACCTTTGCGCCGGTCAGCCGACACACCTCCCTACGGATCCTCCTCGCGATAGTCGCTATGAAGCGGAAAAAGCTTCGTCAGATCGATGTGCCAACGCGTTCCTCTACGCTCCCGTCAACGCCGAAATCTTCCTCGAGCAACCACACAAGTCCGATACAGACCCTAATCAAGTATGTCAGTTGCTAAAGTCCCTGTACAGCATCAAACAAGCACCGAGACTGTGGCAACAGTACCTGCGCGCCCGACTAATACGCATCGGCTTCCGCCAACTGCCACCTGACATGGGAATGTACCGACTCACAAAAGCCGCCGACTACATCCTACTCATCGTCTAAGTAGACGAACTGCTCCACATAGGCTCCACCGACAGCATCACTGTCACAAGGTAGGAAACGAGAATGGCTAGAAATAGGACAGTACAAGGTTTGTATAGGCAAAACCTAACAATACTGTACCCCATAAGGAGTGCCCCACTACAACCTACAATATAGTTTTGACACACCCCCATAGGCAAACTGGGGGACAAGCAAGAAAGGCAAGATCAAGCTCAGGGTGGATCACGACGTCACCATGCATTTTGAGCACAAGTACAAGGCCACAAGGCCAGTTAACCTGCAGGGTTATAAATCAAGGTGAACAAGCAAGACAGTGATCTCAACCTAGCAAGGGTAAGCATGCAGGTATAAGCATATAGATCACAGTAGAAGCAAAGTCAAGAGGTGAGCAGGTGAGGCCAAGTGGCACAAGACCTAACATAGTACAAAAACGCTAATGATCACAAGGCTGAAGTGCCTTGGTAAAGATATCAGCAGTGTTGGCCCGAGTGGCCACGTAAGCAAGACGAAGCTGACCACGCTGCTGCAGCTCACGAGCAAGGAAGTAGCGCAGAGCAATGTGCTTCATTCTGTGCTCCAGTCTGTGCTCCTATCACAAGGCAAGCATGGCCTTGTTGTCGACGTACAAAACTAGAGGAGAATGAGGCGCCTCTCCCAAGTCGGTCAGCAGGTAGGTGAGCTAGCGTAACTCCTGTGCAGCCATGGCCCTAGCGTAGATCTCAGCATCACAACTGGAGCTGAGAACAGTAGACAAGCAGGTAGACCGCCACGAAACAGAGCCGGAACCAAGGCTGAAGGTGTAACCCTGTGACGACCGCTGCGTAGCCAAGTCGTCAACCGAAGAAGCGTCTGCGTGATCACTGAGGACAATTCGAGCCCGTCCTCCAAGCACGAGCCCCATGCACTGGCCACTCGGCTCTACGGACTCATCGGAAGGCAGAGCTGAGAGCGAGTGGCGAGTTGACAGAGGAGTGGCCTGAGGCAAGGAGTACGTGAAATTGAAGCGCTGAAGGACCTGCTGCACCATGTGTGACCGAGTCAAGGCAATGGTGCGGCGTGCTTTTTCCCGAGTGATCTGCAAGCCAAGATAGCTGCGCAGCTCACCCACGTCTGTGCACGTGTGTCTCTTCTCCAGTTCCGACTTCACGTGGGCCAGTCCAGCAGTGTCAGCAGTAGCAAAGACCAAGTCGTCGAGGTACACGAGGATGTAGAACGGCGGCGGAGTAGTGTTGGTGCGGAGAAACAGCGACGGGTCAGCAGTGGAAGGAGCAAACCCAAGAATAGCAAGCGTAGTCCTCAGTGTGTCGTGCCACTCACGGGGCGCCTGGCGAAGACCGTAGACTGGGCGCCAAGGGGCTCCACTGGGTACTAGGAGGAAACGACCCAGTGAAGCTAGGTGGGCGACGTAGCCAGATCTCCTCGTGCGGGCTGCCCTGTAAGAAGGCTGTGCTGAAGTCAAGAGAGTGAAGCTTTTAGTCACGCTGAGCGGCGACGTGCAACAGGACACGAAGAGTGGTCATCTTCGGGGTGGGAGAGAAGGTCTGAAAGTAGTCAACTCCCTGTCGCTGACTAAAGCCTCAAGCCACGTAACGCGTCTTGAAGACAGGCGGAGAACCTGGCGGCCGGTTCACCTTGAAAATCCACATGTCATCGACAATGTTCGCCCAAGGTAGGGGAACATCGTCGACGTAGGTGCCTGTGGACTTCCAGGAAGCCATCTCTGCGTCCATGGCTGTCTGCCATCTTTGCGTCCCCCCCCCCTCCAATCCCACCCCTGTACCTCCCCCTCTCCCCAACACCCTACACCATTGTGAGCAGTGTTACAAGCGCGGTATGAAGGTAGCAGTGGTGGGAGTACCCAAGACCATTGACAATGACATTCTGCTGCTGGACCATACCTTTGGCTTCGACACCGCTGTGGAGGAGGCCCAGAGGGCGTTGCATGCTGCCTATGTGGAGGTGAGAGGGAGAAGGAATGCGGAGGGGTGGAAAAAGGGGGGACGTGGGAGGGTAGGGGGAAGAAGGGCTGCTGGAGCAGATGTTTGGGTTTAGCACAGAGGGCGCTGCATGCCGCCTATGTGGAGGTGAGCAAAGGAATGGGTAGGGGCATTGGCATGGGCATGGGCATGGGGTTGCTGGCAGGACATGCTACCTGTTACCACTCCTCCCCATTAGTTCGTCCAGAGCATACCATACAGAATTATGGACATTGTGAAGCTGGTGGGTCATAGGCAGAGTGACGCCAAGCCAAGCCAGATTCATGTCACATCCCCTCCCTGCCCTCCCTTTTCGCCCCGCAGGCATCCAGCGTGTACAGGGGCATCGGCATCGTGAAGATGATGTGATGTGGGCACAATGATGCCAAGTCGAATCTACATCGCCTTTCCTCTCCTCCCTGCCGGCCCTCGCCCCCCTGCCCACCCTGTCCTCTCTCCCCCCATGTGACAGGCGTCCAGCGCGTACAGGGGCATCGGCATTGTGAAGCTGATGGGGCGGCAGAGTGGCTTCATTGCCATGCATTCGTCGCTGGCCAGCGGACAGGTGGACATGGCACTTATCCCTGAGGTGCGTGGCGGGCCCTCACTGCGAATATGAATGGCATGCGGTAGGCGTGGTAGCAGCAAGGAAGGCTGTGCAGTGGTTTCATTGCCATGCACTCGTCGCTGGCCAGCGGACAGGTGGACATGGCGCTCATTCCTGAGGTGCGTGGCGGGCCCTCACTGCGAATATGAATGGCATGCGGTAGGCGTGGTAGCAGCAAGGAAGGCAATGCAGTGGCTTCATTGCCATGCACTCGTCGCTTGCCAGTGGACAGGTGGACATGGCGCTTATCCCTGAGGTATGCAGTGGGGGGAGTGAGGGAAGGGAGGGAAGGGAAGGAAGGGAGGGAGGCAAAGTGTCAGCTTCATGCCTTGCCATGCATACATCCCTTGCCCAGTCTGCTGCTGTTCAGCAACCCACAGTTCTTCCCTTCCAGACAAGAGACATCTCACACGTGTAATCTACCGCTCATCTCTCCTCTCCCACTGCCCGTCACACCTTTCACCACATTTCTTGCTGTCTCAGCTCTTTCGAGGCGTCTCACCACTGAGCATGCTCGTGCCCCTTATGCGTTCATTCGCCTCACTCAAATGCTCCTGTCTCTTCATACAAGCTCCATACAAGCCTCCCCATACAAGCTCCATTCTGCCAGGATAAGCCCTCCTGCAGCGTACTGCAGCAGCATCATGTTCTAAGCCCATTCTTCAGGTCACCGAGTTCCCGTACTGCCTGCACACCACTCCTCCATCCCCTCTCGCCACTCCTTCCTGCCTCTAGCCTGGCTCTGCCTCCTCGCTCTAATCCCCACATGCCATTCCGCCTGGAGGAGCCCAATTGGTTGCAATTGCTGCAGTACCAACTCTCTCCCCCTGTCTCCTCTTTCGCCCCTACCCAGGTGCCGTTCTGTCTGGAGGGGCCCAACGGGGTGCTGCAGCATCTGGAGTATCTCCTGGACCGCCAGGGCCACGCCATCATCTGCGTGGCAGAGGGCGCTGGGCAGGTGAGGGGTTTCATGGGGACGTTGGACTTGAATTGTGACAGTTGAGGTGAATCTGACAGTTGAGGTGATTTTTTATGGCTAGGCAGCTCAGAAGTCATCGTGACCACCAGCGCCACGCCATCATCTGCGTCGCAGAGGGCGCAGGCCAGGTGAGGGGTTTCATGGGGACGTTGGATGTGAATTGTGATAGTTTGAGGAAAAAAAAAACACGGTTACGGCAACTCAGAAGTCGTTGTTCATGGACCGCCAGGGCCAGGCCATCATCTGAGGAGGGTGTAGGGCAGGTGAAATGGAAGGAAAAAGAACCAGCTAAGGAAAAAGAACCCAGCTGTGGAATGTGCGTGCATTCCATTCTTTTGAACGTGTGTGAATGGAGGACCTGGTGCAAGGGGAGGGCGGCACGGATGCGTCAGGAAATCCAATCCAGTCGGACATTGGGGTCTTTCTCTTGAAGCAGGTGGGGATGGGGAGGCTGCTTGGGATAGCGCCTCTTTCTCATTCTGAATCTCATTTCTGCTCCCCTTACCAGTTTCATTACCTTTCTGTTCCTCATTCATTCTCATTCTCGTTCACGTTCTCGCTAAATCTCCCATTGACCTAACAAGGGACGTTCTTGCCTTCCCGCCACCTCTTCCTTTCACCCTCTTCCCCCCTCGTGACCTAATTTTGGATGATCCAGGTGCGGCGTCATTTCAAGTCCATCTGACGGCCAGCAGACGTGAAGTACATCGATCCGACGTACATGATCCGAGCGTGCCGCGCGAACGCGTCGGAAAGCGTCATGTGCGCAGTGCTGGGGCAGAACGCCGTTCACGGCACGTTCGCCAGCTACAGCGGCATCACCGTGGGGTTGGTCAACTCGCACTACGCGTATATCCCGATCCCCAAAGTTATCAGGCACGCATGGCACGTGGATCCTAACGGTCGCATGTGGCACCGGTGTCTCACGGCCACTGGTCAGCCGGATTTTATTCGGGTGCAACAATAAGGCTGTCGTACAGCTTCCAGGTTGAATAGTTCAAGAGGTTATAAAGGCCCTGTTCGATAGCGAGGGTGACCCATGCCAGAAACCATTTAGGTGACCTTATTCCTTGGGCGGGAAACGGTTTGCGACCCCATGCAATGGTACATAATTCCCGCCAGCGCGAACAACCCCCCTGCGATGCCCTTGGTTTCCCGCCCAGCGGCTAAAACATGGCGGGAATTTTAACGGGGTGGTTTGACACTACAGCGCGCAGTAACAGTGACTGTCGCCTAATCATTACAGCCCATCCTTGGTAAAATTTCAGACCATTGCCAATGTTACTTTTCGAATGAGTGGCTCCAATGCCGGACCAATGGGCTATTTAGGGACCCTGGGCTAAACCAGTCGCACCACAAATCCTTTCGACACACCTAACTAATGCTGAAACCGATCTCGAATACTCTATACATTTTCAGCACAAACATTTGGGTGGGGCTTTTGTTTTTACGCAGACCGTCGAACCCCCGGGCAGACCCCGCGGCTGGAAACAGTCCGCTTCAAAGGGCCGTTGAGGTGGAGCTTTTTGACCACCTCGGCCGTCTTCGGGTCGGCCAAAATGATTACACTGCCGGCGCTGTCCTACCACTTGCATTTTGTCGCGACGCTGAACCATTTGGGCGACAGAGCCAAACCAAATGGTTGCGTCGTGGGGGCCCAAAGTGCTATTGAATAGGGCCAAAGACAGCTGATGTAACAGTGTGGTAGCCGAATGCTACCAAGTACAGTGCAGGTGGGCGGAAGTCAAGCGCCACCTCACCAACTGTCACCACATAGTCCGAGCACAAGAGCAAGGCCACAAGGCCAGTTCACATGCAAGATCATATATATAAAGGTAAACAAGCAAGTGCAGGTATAGAAAGAGTACAGTACAAACAACATCACGAAGTGAGCAAGTGAGGCCAAGTAGGCACAAGACCTAGCATAGCACAGAAGCGCTGATGATCACAAGGCCGAAGGGTCTTGGTGAAGATATCAGCAGTGTTGGCCTCAGAGGCCACGTAGATGAGGCGGAGCTGACCACGCTGCTGCAGCTCACGAGCCAGGAAGTAGCGAAGAGCAATGTGCTTCGTTCTGTGCTCCAGTCTGTGCTCCCGACACAAGGCCAGCATGGCCTTGTTGTCTACGTACAGAACTGGAGGAAAACGAGGCGGCTCTCCTAGGTCAGTCAGCAGGTAGGTGAGGCAGCGTAGCTCCTGTACAGCCATGGCTCCCGCGTAGATCTCAGCCTCACAACTGGAGCCGAGAACAGAAGACAAGCTGGTAGACCGCCACGAAACAGAGTCGGAACCAAGGCTGAAAGTGTAACCCTGTGACGACCGCTGCGTAGCCTGGTCGTCAGCCCAAGAAGCGTCTGCGTGACCTGTGAGAACCACTGGACGCCGCCCTCCAAGCACTAGCCCCATGCCCGACGTACTGCACAAGTAGCGCAACACCCTCTTTGCTGCAGCCATGTGCTCTGGTCGGTGTCTCCCAGGAGCAACATAGCGTGCCAAGATGCTAAGAGGGTATGCAAGGTCAGGTCGTGTGCAGGTCATCAGGTACATGAGGCAGCCAACAAGCTCTGGGTACGGGCCACTCGGCTCTACAGACTCATCCGAAGGCAGAGCTAAGAGTGAGTGGCAAGTAGACAGAGGAGTGGCCTGAGGCGAGGAGTACGTGAAGTCGAAGCGCTGAACGACCTGTTGCACCATGCGTGACTGAGTCAGGGTGATGGTGCGCTGTGCTCTGTCCCGGGTGATCTGCAAGCCAAGGTAGCTGCGCAGTTCACCCAGGTCTGTGCACGTGTGTCTCTTCTGCAGCTCGGACTTCATATGGGCGAGTCTAGCAGTGGCAAAGACCAAGTCGTCGACGTACACGAGGATGTAAAACGACGGCAAAGAGTCGTCGGTGCGTAGAAACAGCGATGGGTCGGCAGTAGAAGGAGCAAACCCAAGAGGCGCAAGTGTAGTCCTCAGTGTGTTGTGCCACTCACGGGGCGCCTGGCGGAGACCGTAGACTGGCCGCCGGAGGCTCCACTGGGTACCAAGAGGAAACGACCAAGTGAAGCCAGGTGGGCACCGCAGCCAGATCTCCTCGTGCAGGCTGCCCTGCAAGAAAGCTGTACTAAAGTCAAGAGAGTGAAGCTCATAGTCGCGCTGAGCGGCTATGTGCAGCAGCACCCGAAGAGTGGTCATCTTCAGGGTGGGAGAGAAGGTCTGAAAGTAGTCAACTCCCTGCCGCTGACTGAAGCCTCGAGCCACGTAACGCGCCTTGAAGACAGGCGGAGAACCCGGCGGCCGCTTCACACTGAAAATCCACATGCCACTAACGATGTTCGCCCCAGGTGGGGGAACCTCGTCGACGTAGGTGCCTGTGGACTTCCAGGAAGCCATCTCTGCATCTATGGCTGACTGCCACTGTGAGGAGTAGGGACCCTCGATCGCCTCAGCGTACGATCGAGGAGTCGGGATGCCTGGTGCATCCGGGTCTCCCTCAGGGGCAATCAGCATGGACACTAGATGAGGCAAAACAGCAGCAAAACAATGGAACTCCTCCTGCCTGTCCTCAAGGACGTCCATGCTAAGAGCACACTCACCCCTGACGGACGGAGGTCAGACAGACTCAGACTCAGCAACGAGACTAGTGGCGTAGTCTAGACGACAGCGAGCAGCAAAGTCGACAAGCTCAGCAACTAGGGCAGACGCAGCAGTGGACGCAAAGGAAGGGTCAGTGACAATAGTAGCCAAAAGACGCGTGACAGTAGGACTGGCAGCACGAAGAGAGCCAGACGCCGGGTCAGCAAGAGCAGGAAGAGAGGACTCTGGAGGAGATGGCAACGGGACACGCAGTGGAGCAGTGGAAGGACGCAGTGCCATCTGGTGTGTGCCTGGGACCGTAGGAGGACACGGACGCGGAACATGACGACTAGTGCGAGCAGCACGAACAGGTGACGCAGGACGAGACGCAGGCGCACGACGCTCAGCAAGACCTCCAATAGGACCAGTGTAGGGAGAGGGAGCGGGCAGTGGGGAGGCGGGCTGTAACTGCGACTCAGACTTGACAGGTGGCGGACACTCTAAGGAAGGAGCAGGACCAGTAGAAGGCGGGAGACGAAGAACCTGCTCAAGGAGCCGAACGAAGTACGGCCATGGCCGCGCAGCGCCTCTAGAGCCAGCAGGGACAGCACGAGCACCCCCAGCGGCAGCACCAACACCAGTAGTACCCCCAGCTGCAGCACCGCCAACTCCAGCACCCTCAAAAGTACCAGCGCCAGCAGCACCTCCAGCGCCAACACCCTCAGCAGCCTCAGCACCAGCCGGACCACCGGAAGACTCGACAGCCACAACTCCAGCACCTCCAGCAGCACCTGCTCCAGAAGCTCCACCAGCAGCTCCAGCACCACCACCAGCTCCAGCACAAGGAGCACCCCCAGGCCCAGCAGCTCCAGTATCTCGAGTACGAGCACCTCCGGAACCCGTGGCACCAACACCCTCAGTAGCAGCAGAACCGCCAGCGCCAGCAGCACCTCCAGCTCCAGCAGCACGGCTCCAATGCCGAGCAAACCACTCGCGCAGCTCCTGAGGAAAGGGGAGCTCCCGCCGCGACAAAGCACCCGAGGGACCCTCAGACCCAGCACCACCAGACTCCACACGAGTAGGCCCAGCACCCTCAGGCTCCACACCCCCAGGCTCAGCACCCCCAGGCTCAGCACCCCCAAACTCAGCACCCCCAGGCTCAGCACCCCCAGGCTCAGCACCCCCAGGCCCCGCACCCGCAGGCTCAGCACCCCGAGCAGCACCAGAGTCAACAGCTACCTCGACAGGCTCGACTGTGTCAACCTGAGACACACCTGAGGGGGCGGGACACTGAGGGGGAAGGGGGTCTACTGGGGGGGGACCTGGCGCGAGCAAGAGAGGCGGCGGGGGGAGGGGCGCAGTGCGGTAGGGGAGGAGACGGTAGTACGGAACCGACTCGTCAAACGTGACGTCCTGGGAGGACACAACACGGCGCGAGGTGGGGTGGTAAAACTGCCAACCAGGCGCGTCAGGGGGGAAGCCAAGGAAGATGCAGGGAACAGCACGGGGGGACAGCTTGTCCGCAGACAAGTCGCGGACAAAAGCCCGAGATCCCTAGACACGAAACGCAGACGCATCGCCAACCTTCCCCGTCCACCGCAGAGTAGGGGAGGTCTCCGGCAAGGAGACTCGGGGCTGAAGGTTGATCTGATGCGCCGCGTACTGAACCGCGAACGGCCACAGAAAATGGGGAGCAGCCGCATGAATCATGGACGTACGAGCGACGACCATGACCATGCCAATGCGGCGCTCAGCAATCCCATTTTGCTGTGGAGAGGCCGGAAGCGTGAACGTCTGGCGGATGCCCTGTGCACGACACAAGGCTCCCAGAGGAAAACTCCCCGCCTCTGTCAGAGTGTAGACGCAGAACAGGAAAGTCCGAGCCGAAACTCTCTATGAGCTGGAGACAAACTGCGCGGATCCAGTCGATCAACACCTCAGTGACATCACCCTTGCTGCGCAAGGGGAACACCGTGGTGTAACGCGAGTAGTCGTCAACCACCAACAGGAAGTAACGCTCGTGACCCTGGCCACGGACGCGGGCGGGGCCCCACACGTCCATGTGAAGAGTCTGCAGCGGAGCCTCTGTCGGAGGAAACTCGGAGGAGTGAGGAGCGGTGCGCTGCCACCCCTCGACGCAGGGAACGCAGGTAGGGGTAGGCCCCGGAGGGAGGGGAGGGAGGGACCGGGGGAGACCAGAGACAAGGTAACGGGAGGCCATGCCTCGGAGACGAGGCAGGGAGGGGTGACCAAGGTGGTGGAGCCAGAGGAGAGTCCGGTGGGACAGGAGACGACACGAGCAGGGAGCAGACTCAGGACCAGACCTGGACGCTGCAGCAAACAACTGACCCGACGCAGCTACCTGACCAGACTCAGCAACCGGAGAAGACTCAGTAGTCAGTGTTAACCGGCTCGACCCCGGCTAACGAGTAAACATGGCCAAGTGTCGGCCCGTCCGAGCACACGTGCAGTGGGTCACCCGTTGACTCGTAGGAGTGAACTGGTCAACCCCCCTATCCTGTAGATCAGCACCACTCACCAAGTTCATAGAGAACAAGGGGAGGTAGAGACCTGACAGGGTGCCAGAGGGGGCCGCCGGACACGGTAAGACAGTGGAGAAGTGGGCAAGGACAGGACCCCCAGAGGGGTCCGCCAGGGAGACCGCAACTGGCCGACTAAGCGGCGTAAGCGTGGTGCGGTCTCGAAAGAAGGAGCGGGAAGCACCCGAGTCAAGGGTGAAGGTGTGTAAGGCCTGAGCCGACGTGGTACCTGAGAGAGCAGACTCACCAGCACCTGGGGCAGCAGACGCACTAGCACCTAGAGCAGCAGCCTCACCAGCACCTAGAGCAGCAGCATCAATGCCCGGGTCAGGCGGAACACACAGGTAATAGTCACCCTCATCACTAGTAGACACAACATACATGGCAGCAAGAATAGCATCATAATCCAGATCAAGGATAGCAACCCCCGACCTAAGCAGCTCGCCCCAGCGGGGGATCTCAGTGGCGTCAGGGAACTGGAGACGCCAAGCGTCCGTTAGGCGGCCGAAGCAGCGCTGGGTGGTGTGCGGGCCACCGCACGGCTCACTAGTGCGGTCGCCGGTACGCATGACGTAGGCACAAGGACCAGCACCCCCACCCCGCTGACGCGCAGCGTACCACTCACGAAGCTGCTTGGGGGACGGGGTCTCACGAGTGCGCTGCTGCTGCTGGCGCTGACCACCACCGGAGCCGCCCCGCTGCGCAGAGCCACCTCGACCAGCTCCACCTCCGCCGCCACCACCTCCGCCACCGCCGCCACCGCCTCCTCCTCCGCTCCCACCACCACTGCTGCCGCCGCCTCCGCCTCCACCGCCGCCACCGAAGCCCCCACCCCCGCCACCACTCCCACCGCCACCCCCACTCCCTCCGCCGCCTCCACCGCCACCTCCACCGCCCCCGCCAGCCCCTCCAGCGCCCTTGCCCCCCTTGCCCTTGCCGGTGCGGCGTCTCCCGCTAAGGGCAGACCCAGCGCTGACCGACTCGGTGCCAACGAAGTCGACGGCAGCAGCATAGGCAACAGAGGGCAAAAGTGGGGAGGGGGAGCACCCCTCAAAGAAGGGGGTACGAGGGTCACCACGAGAGGCTGCTACAACGACTTTACTCTTCTCAGCTGCCAGGAGGCGCTCCTCGAGGAGGTCAACGATGAGTGTGGTGGGGCAAACAGAGAGGAAGTGGTCCCTGACCGAGCGAACGGAGTCAAGGAGCCGGGTGACTATGAAATAGAGGGTGAGGTACATGGGGGGGGGGGGGGGGTTCTTGGCGCAGAACTCAGCAGGAAGAACGCGCGCGGTAGCGGGTGTCACTAGTGCGAAGGTGCGTAATGAGGTCAGCGACAATGGGAAAGGCGGCGAGGTCAGGGAACAGGTACGGCAGCATGAGGCGGCTAAGGGCAGCAGTGGCAGGGGAAGAGTAGCGTGCAACTACAGCGTCGTACAAGGTCTTAGCACTCTTGTACTGACTAAAGTGCGCGCGCTCAGTGGACGGCAAGTGACTACGCACAGCAAGACGGGCAGCAGCATCGCGTGTGGCCCACTGGGAGCGAATTGTGCTGTCAGCATCGGCAGTAGGGGCAGGAGAGGCGCCAGACGTGAGATCGAACAGTGCGAGACCGTCTTTCCTATCGCACTGCAGGAATTGCTGTAGATCATCGACCCAGACATCAAAGTCGACAGGCCGACTGTCAGCATCAAAGGTGAGAACGCTAGGGGTAGCCATGACAGCAGCAGCAGCAGCAGGCTAGTAGCAGTAGCAACAGGCGCGGCTCGCCGGTGCCCTTACCAGGGCGGGTGGGTAGGGGCCCGCAAGTGGTGGGGCAGGGCCGAGGCGCGTAGGCAGGGACAGAGCCGCGACGGCGGCGGCGGCTCCTGCTGTCGGCGGCGACGGCGGTTGCGGCCCCGGCAGTGGCGGTGGCGGCGGTCACGACAGCGGTGGCTGCGGCGGCCGCGGCCCCGGCAGTGGCGGCGTCGGCTGTCACGGCAGCGGCGGCGGCGGCTGCTGCTGTCGGCGGCGGTGGCTGCTACTGTCGGCGGCCGCCTCTGCTGTCGGCGGCGGCTGCTGCTGTCGGCTGCTGCTGTGGGCGGCGGCGGCTGCTGCTGGCGGCGGCTGCTGCTGTTTGCGGAGGAGCCGAGAAGGGGCCGGTAAGGGCGGCGAAGGGGCCACGAAGGACCGTGAAGGGGCCGCGAAGGGCGGCTACGGGACCGAGACGGGACCGTGAGGGGGGGGGGCGCGAAGGGCGGCGACGGGGCCGAGACGGGGCTGTGAGGGGCCGCAAAGGGCGGCGACGTGGCCGAGAAGGGGCCGTGAGGGGCCGGAAAGGGCGGCGACGGGGCCGAGAAGGGGCCGCAAGGGGCCTCGAGGGGCGGCGACGGGGCCGAGAAGGGCGGCGACGGGGCCGCGAAGGGCGGCGACGGGGCCGCGAAGGGGCCGCGAGGGGCCACGAAGGGGCCGCGAGGGGCCTGAAGGGGCCGCGAAGGGCCGTGAGAGGGGTCGTGAGGGGCCGTGAGAGGGGCCGCTACGGGGCCGTAAGAGAGCGCGACGGGCCGCTAAGGGCAGGGGACGCGACGGGAGGGCAGGCACACGGGGCGCGACTCGGGCAGGAGCGAAGCGCGCTCCGGGCAGGAAAAAAAAAATCGATTTTCGGTGGGCCCTAGGAAACGTTCCCACTAGGGAACCTGCTCTATACCATGTGAAAGAACGAGGAATGATTGACTAAGGAATGAGTGTGATACAAATATGAAACCATAGAATTGTGTACCCCTTAATATCTAACCCGCTACAGCCTATACAGGCTAAATCATATAAGTCTGACAGAGCTGCCACGCTACAATCTCAACCTGGGAAGAATTTTCAGCATCGCTCACCATGAACTTCGAACCTGTCAACGCGATTGAACGCGCTCGTGACAACCTCGCTGCACTACGCCAACACCGCTGCGTAGCCGAATACGTCAACCGCTTCCGGGAGTTGGTGCTGGAGATTCCCGATATCCCTGCCTCCGAGCAGATGGATAAGTTCAAGTGCGGGCTGAAACCAAAAACTCGCACCGAAGTGGAGCTTCGCGGATGTACGTTGATGGATGATATGATCCGCGTGGCGGAACGCTTCGACACGATCAACTTCGCTGCGTTCCAACGCTTCAACGGCATGAGGATGGGTCACACGAATCACGCTCCAGCTACTCGTGCAAACGGTCCTACACCCATGGAGCTGGGAATGATGGAGAGGCAGCCGCATAATGCCTCAAACGTCATGTGCTACCAATGTGGGAAGATGGGGCACATCAATCGGAACTGCCCGAATCGTCGCAGCCAGGCCTGTCGATTCAAGGGCATATGCCCTTAATGCCCTGAACATTACGGGCTACTTTCGCTCCAGCTCGACTGCCAAAAGTGTTAGATTCGCACTGTACCCGTGCCACTAAGTGCCGCGCTCGACCCTTCCCCGGATGCGTTAAGGGCCCAAACCAAGCCTTCCCTTGTCTCGAAGTTCTGGTTTCTGGTTGTAGGACCCACCACCCCCCCAAATTCTGCCTGACCCCACCCCTTTTCTCCTTAGGTTGCACGAGAGGAGTGGATTTTTCCCTTAGCGTTTTCTAGCCAATCCTGTGTTTGTAAAGCGTCTAAGTCAGCTTGGAGCACCCAAATTGTCCCTTATTGTCTAAGTGTCCCCCCCCCCCCTTTCCTCCTTGGGTTGCACGAGAGGAGTGGATTTTCCCTTAGCGTTTTCTAAGCCAGCTTGGAGCACCCGAATTTCCCCTTAGCGTCTGAGTGTCCCCCCCCCGCCCCCCCCATTTCTCCTTAGGTTGCACGAGAGGAGTGGATTTTTCCCTTAACATTTTCTAGCCATCCTGCGTTAGTAAAGTGTCTAAGTCAGCTTGGAGCACCCGAATTTTCCCTTAGCGTCTTTAAGTGCCCCCCCCCCCCCCCCCCTTTCTCCTTAGGTTGCACGAGAGGAGTGGATTTTTCCCTTAGCGTTTTATAGCCATCCCGTGTTTGAAAGTCAGCTTTAGAGCACCCAAAATTTCCCTTCGCGTCTAAGTGCGAACTCTTCACAGGCCCGGATTTTAAGTTTTCACTTTGGGGTGCGCCCGTGACCCTTAAGGGCGCCCAAACGCTCAGCTACACCAAAAACAGGGTCAGATGGGGAGGAGCTGGGGAGCGCAAGTTGTCGGAAAATATAATTTAATATTTTCTATATGTGGCCCCAGCCCCGTCGTCACCTGCGGCCCCGCCACCTGCGGCCCCGTCGCCACCTGCGGCCCCGTCGCCCACTTCGGCCCCGATGCCACCTGCGGCCCTGCCCACTTGCGGCCCCGACCCCGCCCCGGCCATGCCCCGTCGCCAGCCGCGGCACACCAGGGGCGACCTGGAAGGGGGGGGGGCAGGCGTCACCCCCTCTGCCGCCTGCTTTGGCGCCCGGGGAGGACGTGCGTCCCCCCCCCCCCCCCCCCCCCCCCCCCCCTCTCCTCCTCCTTTTGTTCCCGCTGCTGCAGCTGCCGCCGGGGGTGAGGGTGTGGGGGAGCCCGGGGAGTGGCACTGGGGTGGCGGGTGTGAGACCACCCAGCAGCCGTCCCTCCACCTCTCCTCTCTTCCCCCCCTCTGCTGCTCCTGCAGCAGTGTGTGGGGGAGGGGGAAGGGGAGGGGGAGGGGGAGGGTGGGAGGGTGGGAGGGTGTGAGGGTGTGGGGGAACCAGAGGAGTGGTATTATTGAAACACTTTTCTCCTCCTGCACAATCGTGATGTACCCCTTCAGAGGGCGCTAACTGCATACTCATCTCCTACAGCCAGTTATGGGGGCGTGTCGGAAAATATAATTTAACTATATGTAACTGCCTGTAGGATTGGTTACTGTAGTTATAGCGTTTTCCTATTTGGTGGTGCACCTTTCTTGCTTGTTCTCTCATATTTGTACCCTTGAACCTATAGTGAAACCACTCATTCTCCTTTTCAACTTTCTCGAACTCAACTCTCTCGATCTAACTAGCCATGGCTCCTAAGCCTTGCTAGAAACTATTCACACAAGTATGGGTCCCAGGAACTTCGACAGGCCTGGTCGCAGCCCGAACGGAGGACGGGGAAACGGACAGCGCCAGTAGCTGTGGGGCAGACCTCTGGCGCATCGCATGCCCCGCTTCTCCCCACCCCATTGTTCATCGGTACCTCTGAACTTTACACCACATCAAACGCTCCATTCCCCGCCATCATTCTAAACGCAAAAATAAAGAATCGCTACGTTGACTTTCTGCTCGATACCCGCGCTTCAGCAAATTTCCTCTCTCCCGCAATTGCTGCTGAACTTTCTCTCCCCGAAGATCCCAACAGCAACCCATAGGACGTGATCATGGCAGATGGTACTTGGCGGCGCTGCGGACCTACTCTCCTCCCTGTGCATTGCATGTTTGGAAGCTTGGAGGCGACGGTCACGTTCGAGCAACTGCATCTCGGCGGGTACGAAGGCGTTATCGATCGACCATGGTTGCACCAGTTTGGACAACGGATTTATTGGCGCAACGGAACTGTCACCGTCGGCAACTACGACCTCCCATCCCACTCCTTCCGCCGACCATGATCATCCCCAACCAGTTCAGCTTCATCAACTCATCCACCCCAACCTGCCCCATCTCCATCTTCCCATATCCCCCCTCTCCCTCCTCCTCGCATAGCTCCTGCGCAGCAGCCAACACCACCCGGCTCTCCCGAAGTGATCAACACACCTCCTCCTTCTCCACCCCACCCAACCCAGCAGCCACGCCGTTCCATCATCCGCCCTGCCTCTGAAGTTATCAATCCACCAACCCCCACCCCTCCTTTACCACCTCCTCCTCATCATCTCCTAGTCATCTTCACGGCTCCCGAATCTGAAGCATCAGCTTCTTCACTGCCACCACCCATACAGAATCTGCTGAACGGCTATACGGACGTATTTCTCGATGATCTACCCGCCGAACTTCCACCCGAGCGTGCTATTGACCATAGCATCCGCCTCATTCCAGGTTCTACACCGCCCGTGCGCCTAACCTATCGCTGCCGAACTTTTGGAGCTACGACGACAACTCGACGACCTTCTTGAGAAGGGTTTCATCCGCCCTAGCACCTCACCATACGCTGCCCCCGTTCTTTTCACTCGCAAGAAGGAAGGTGACCTGCGTCTTTGCATCGACTACCGCGCCCTCAACGCCATCACGATCAAGAACAAGTACCCGCTGCCCCGTGTCGAGGAGTTGTTCGACATGCTTGGGGAAGCAACGGTTTTCAGCAAGCTCGACCTACGATCCGGTTACCACCAGATCCGCCTCGCCGAAGACGACATCAGCAAGACGGCGTTTCGAACCCGGTACGGCCACTTCGAATTTCGAGTTCTTCCCTTCGGCCTCACCAACGCACCAGCCACGTTCATGGGACTTATGAACGACATTTTTCGGCCCTTCCTTGACCGCTTTGTCATCGTGTTCCTCGATGACATCCTCATCTTCAGCAAGTCACTTGAAGAACACGCTCAGCACCTACGCATCGTCCTCGACACTCTCCGCCAACACCGCCTCTACGCCAAGCTCTCCAAGTGCACCTTTGCTTGTTCAAGCATCGGCTTTCTCGGCCATGTCATCAGCTCCAAGGGCATTGCTATGGACCCCGCAAAGGTCCAGTGCCTTGCTGATTGGCCAGCACCACGCACGGTAGCGGAGCTGCAAAGTTTCATCGGCCTTGCAAAATATTACAG